TGGGCATAGCTTCCAAAATTATTACCTGACGTGGTGTGTGCACTTGTGTTTGGGTTCATGTGATAAATTCTTTAACCTCTGGTAAATTCGACGCCAATTTGAAGCCGTAATCGCTTTTTGGTTCTGTACTTGCATGCACCTCATATACATGTATTCGTTCACCTCTTGTCTACATACTAGTATAATTGTTTAGGTCAAGTTCAGTTCGCACGTTTAACCGAAACTTGGTCCACTCACGTAGACGCAATCAAGGAAGGAACGAGGCAAAGATGAAAAGAGAGGCAGAAAGAGATAAGATATGACGATATTTTCGCTGGCATTCCCTCTTGTCTGAAAGTTTGGCCACCTCAAACAATTCACCGATATGCATCCCGAGAGCCCCATTATCACTGAAGTGGCAAAACTTTGTGACTACTCCACTGTGCTCGCAATACCGATAACATTCGCTTTGAGTACTCGCTGAAGCGACGAAGTTACTTGAATGCGCCACGGTGCGAATTGTCGGACGAAAACGTCTGGAGAGGCTTTGAGTCATTTTGTTAACCTTTCATATTAGCACACACTCCAGGGAAGTGGGTTCCAACCGCCTCGAAAACACAAAGGTCCTTTGTGACGGTTCACATTTGTACTTTTCAATGGTGTTTTCACCAAACACAAAATAAAACAGGAGACTGGTGCTCTACATGTGAAACCAGAACATCGTTTTGGAACATAACATTTGTGACTATAGGTAAAAATAGCAAGACGTTTTGCTAGCAAAATTGGTGTACCTAAAGCCTTTCTTGTGTGCTGCATATAAATCAGCATGACATTCATGAAACTCCAAACAACTGATACAGCATGGGAAACAAACACGGTACATTTACGGTGACCGAACAGAGCATGACAATTTAGAAAAACTATGAAAGGCTGTCGTTCATGTCCGTCAAACTAAGGAAAAGCGAAAATACTATAAAGGTTGAAGAATGACATGGTCGCGGTCCAAGACAAATTTGAAATCCAATAGAATATGCCAAGCACCTGAAAAGAACAGCCAAAAAATGAACGGAACAAACTGTCAAGGAGAAGCGGCAACGTTCGGCTGGTTCATCAATGAGGTAGTTCCACCTCCATCATATTCCATCTCTGACCAGCTTGATGTACACCAGCAACAAGACCCCAACTTGTACATAAGTGAAAGTAAATCGTGATATTTATGATGTGTACTGGTGAAGACACATATGATGAAAACCAAGTGTATTCTAGTTTCGAGATGGGAATGCTAAACAGCTGAGGAAACGAGGCAAGGAATTAGAATATTGAAAATAGGAAATATCAAGCGGAAAAGAGTTGAAAATAAATCAGACGACTCTATAGAACGTTGTAACTCGTTCACAATCACCAAGCGCAAGAGAACTATCAATTTGCGGACGATGTCTCTCCGTGTTCCCCTTAGGCCTTTGCATGAGATCGCGACATTTGAAGATTTCCTAGAATTCCTCTCCAAAGCGATCTTTCCAAAACGATAAAACATAGGGTAGACAAATTTCTGGTAAATGACGTTAGAGAACATTGTGTACAATGCTGGAAAGAATTTGGACAGTCGTAAAATCATTTTGATGAAGTTGTTTCGGATTTTTCCTACGACACGGGATGCAGGCGAGATATTGTAACGCTGGCGCTTCCTCTTGAAAATAGCGAATATGTTATTCATCGTTTTATCCACCATCCGTTTGCAAACCTGGGGCAGTATACTACTACACCCTGGGCTTATGTCCCATTTCCCATGCGACTTGTATATCACCAACAACGTCCTCAACTCCGGTTCCCAGCACGAGTTCAACACTGCCTTGACTCCATATCCCAGGATGACCTCGCCCTTGGTGGGCTTCAAGCCCCATGTTGCTTTTGTAAGTTCAAGAGTTATTCGTGGGAGACACGTAGCAATGACGTTGAGCCGAAATCGCGCGACAGCAGCGTTCCAACACGTTGAGTTATAGGCGACAAAGTGCGAACATGTCAATACCTCGCTCCTTCCGTATTCCTCTGCACGGCACACCTTATCAGAGACCACACCGACACGCAGCGAGCTCCGGCCTAGGATGGTAGGAACGGCATGGACGAATCATCCGTATGCGACCTGCCGGCTTGTCACAAATTAGCTGGTCAATTGGAAAGTTCCTGGTTAACGTTGATAAGAACAACTGTAAAAAAAAGTACGCCTTAAGCGTTCTATAGGTGTTAGAGAGGACTTGTTCACGTTATTTTGCATCCATTCTGGTGAAAACCTCTCCTCTAACAAACAGAATAACAACGTAGAAAACGATCGGAAAGGTGAGGTAAATCCTTCAGAATTCGTCTCCCTTCCAGGACCCTTTGATTGAGCTAAGCAAAAGTTGCTAATGAAATACTCCGTCGTCGTGTTAACGTTTGCGGATACACTCTCTCCGAACACCAAGGGATAAAGACAAATACTAATACACAGCAGAAGTGTGCTGGCAGTGAATGAAACTCCCATCATCGTGGACTACGTGATGCCGTACACGCACCTTTAGTGTAGCAACCCAACACTCACTGGCAACCAGCAAATGCAAACTGCAAGACGGGGACTTTGAGGTGTAGAGTTATGTACACCTTGAGGACGTTGAAGCGCATACACGTAACGGCGGACTCCTGGCAGAGTGCTATGCATTGTAAAGCGGATCTCTCTCATGCATAACCTCCCCTTCTCACCACTCTATATGCAACCGCACCCATCCCCTGTGTGCATTGCTTGCTTGGTTGTGTAGTGATCAAAAGAGTGACTTTAGTGGTGTCGCCAGTCACATGTGCGCATCTTAGATCGTGTTGTTCACAGATTGTCAAGTTTCATTCACTTTTTCGGTAAAAATGATTTTGTTTTCCATTTCGTTGGTTGTGGCGCCAGACCTGTGATACTAGTTCCATGTTCTATGATTGCTCGTATAAAAGGCATTTTTACACTCCTGTTACATCTAACGCATTCATGTGGGTCTGATATCTGGCGGTCGAGATAATGCCTATCTATTCTGACTGTTATGCGCTGTACACTAGCTACCTTTCGATTTTCAGTAGGTCACAGTTTGCAAGACACTGTAAAGAACTATTGTATTCCAGTAACTGGTGTGCTGGGGTCTGTGAGAGAGTGTTGTGTTGCGCAAGTGTATTCAACATGACATTGATATTCGATTTCGTGCCCGGGCGGACGGTAGCCAAGCAATGACGAGCCGATTACTGTAATGAGTTCTGAGCTGTGTAAGCCAGAAGGTGGGGACTCGGAAGAGGAGGGACAACTCGTTGCTATCGCATGGCAAGTGACTGTCCAGCTGGCCGTATATTCATAGTACACGCGTTTGGCTCATTCTCTAATTAAATGCGAAGGGCCGCCCATTGGTCAGCGGCAGCTAATCCAATCATGGTTGCGGACCTGAAATCTGTATCTGTTTATACTATGCAATTGCACTGGTGCATTTAAAGCGTGCTATGTAACCGATAGCCTATGATACGTTTTTCATGAATGTATAGACTCAGTGATATGATTATCTTATACAGTGAGTATCGTTTATAAAGTGACCGGGTGTAACGATATACCGGCTATAATGATCGAACTCGCCAAAATCAAAATCAAATCACAAAAAATACAGCTAAAACATCACTATACACACTATTATCGGCTATACCGATATATCGTTTATTGTGATGGGCTTCAGGAAGCAAACCATATCAAATGCACAGGAAAATATCGTATATACTGATCAAGAGTGATGATCTCAAAACAATTGTTCTTCAAATTTAGTTTATTTCTTCCAAAACTGATCCAGTGTTGCCTGGATGCATCTGGCAGCAGACGTGATTGAGAGAAAATTCTTCCCTGTATGCTGTAAGCAGCCACATGTACACGTGGCTGCTTTTCATGCTTTTTCCAGCATGTACGCATCATTTCATGCACTGTCATGTGCCATGTGTCAGTCATACATGGAAATCGGATATAGTGATGCACCGGATATAGTGATAAATTATCGAAAATCAAAGGGGCACGTTATATCCACTATTTACTGTACCTGTTGGTAAACACGTGACTCAGTGATATGATTATCTTATAGCTGTTGGTTAACACGTGTGATTTGCACATGGCTCGCACGTTTGGTACCAGATGTTTAATGGAACAGGAAGTGACTTCATAATGCCCTGGTGAGGTGGTGGTGCTGCCCTGAACAACATAATGAATCCAATTACATGCACACACAAATGTTCAACTGAAGAATTCAACTAACTAGGAACAAAGGTTATTCCCTTGCCTGAGGCTAAGCATGCGAGTGCGCCTGGGCATAGCTTCCATAAGTATTACCTGACGTGGTGTGTGCACTTGAGTTTGTGGTCATGTGATGAATTCTTTCACCTCTGGTAAATTCGATGCCAATTCGAAGCCGTAATCGCTTTTTGCTTCTGTGCTTGCATGCACCTCATGTACAAGTATTCGTTCACCTCTTGTCTACATACTAGTATAATTGTTTAGGTCAAGTTCAGTTCGCACGCTAAACCGAAACTTGGTCCACTCACGTAGACGCAATCAAGGAAGGAACGAGGCAAAAATGAAAAGAGAGGCAGAAAGAGATAAGACATGACGATATTTTCGCTGGCATTCCCTCTTGTCTGAAAGTTTGGCCACCTCAAACAATTCACCAATATGCATACCGAGAGCCCCATTATCACTGAAGTGGCCAAACTTTGTGACCACTGAACTGTACTCGCAATACCGTTACCATTTGTTTTGAGTACTCGCTGAAGCGACGAAGTTTCTTGAATGCGCCACAAAGCGAATTGTCGGACGAAAACGTCTGGAAAGGCTTTGAGTCCATTTGTTAACCTTTCATATTAGCACACACTCCAGGGAAGTGGGTTCCAATCGCCTCGAAAACACAAAGGTCCTTTGTGAAGGTTCACATTTGTACTTTTCATGGGTGTTTTCACCAAACACAAATTAGAACAGGCGACTGGTGCTCTAGATGTGAAATCAGAACATCGTTTTGGAACATAACATTTGTGACTATAGGTAAAAATAACAACCCGTTCGGCTAGCAAAATAGGTGTGACTAAAGCCTTTCTTGTGTGCTGCGTATAAATCAGCATGACATACATGAAACTCTCAACAACTGATACAGCATGGGAAACAAACACGGTACACTTGGGGTGACCGAACTGAGCATGAAAATTTAGAAAAACTATGAAAAGCTGTGGTTCATGTCCGTCAAACTAAGGAAAAGCGAAAATACTATAAAGGTTGAAGAATGACATGGTCGCGGTCCAAGATAAATTTGAAATCCAATAGAATATGCCAAGCAACTGAAAAGAAAAGCCACAAAATGAAAGGAACAAACTGTCAAGGAGACGCGGCAACGTTCGACTGGTTCATCATTGAGGTAGTTCCACCTCCATCATATTCCATCTCTGACCAGCCTGATGTATACCAGCAACAAGACCCCAACTTGTAGATAAGTGAAAGTAAATCGTGATCTTTATGATGGGTACTGGTGAAGACACGTATGATGAAAACCAAGTGTATTCTAGTTTCAATAATTATGGGAATGCTAAACAGCTGAGGAAACGAGGCAAGGAATTAGAATATTGAAAATAGGAAATATGAAGCGGAAAAGAGTTGAAAATAAATCAGACGATTCTATTGAACGTTGTAACTCGTTCACAATCACCAAGCGCAAGAGAACTATCAATTTGCGGACGATGTCTCTCCGTGTTCCCCTTAGGCCTTTGCATGAGATCGCGACATTTGAAAATTTCCTAGAATTCCTCTCCAAAGCGATCTTTCCAAAACGATAAAACATAGGGTAGACAAATTTCTGGTAAATGACGTCAGAGAACATTGTGTACAATGCTGGAAAGAATTCGGACAGTCGTAAAAACATCTTGATGAACTTGTTTCCAATTTTTCCTACGACACGGGATGCAGGCGAGATATTGTAACGCTGGCGTTTCCTCTTGAAAATAGCGAATATGTTATTCATCGTTTTATCCACCATCCGTTTGCAAACCTGGGGCAGTATACTACTACACTCTGGGCTAATGTCCCATTTCCCATGCGACTTGTATACCACCAACAACGTCCTCAACTCCGGTTCCCAGCACGAGTTCAACACTGCATTGCCAGCATTTCCCAGGATGAACTCGCCCTTGGTGGGCTTCAAGCCCAATGTTGCTTTTGTAAGTTCAAGAGCTAATCGTGGGAGAAACGTAGCAATGAGGTTGAGCCAAAATCGCGCGACAGCAGCGTTCCAACACGTTGAGTTATAGGCGACAAAGTGCGAACATGTCAATACCTCGCTCCTTCCGTATTCCTCTGCACGGCACACCTTATCAGAGACCACACCGACACGCAGCCAGCCCCGGGCCAGGATGGTAGGGAAGGCATGGACCAGAGTACGAAGCATCCCTATGCGACCCGCTGGCTTGTCACAAATGAGCGGATCAACAGGCATTTTGTTGAGGAACATTTTCAAACACAGCCGGAGAACAGTAAGCACAAAGCGCGGTATAGGTGTAAGGGAGGACTTGTTCACGTTATTTGACATCAATGGTGAAAACCTCCCCTTTACCGCACAGAAGAACAACGTAGAAAACGGTCGGAGAATTGAGGTAAATACTTCAGAATTCTTCTCATTTCCAGAACCCTTTGATTGAGCTGAGCAAAAGTTGCTAATGAAATACTCTGTGGTCGTGTTAACGTTTTCGGATACACTCTCTCCAAACGCCAAGGGACAAAGACAAATACTTATACACAGCAGAAGTTTGCTGGCAGTGGATGAAACTCCCATCATCGTGCACTACGTGAGGCCGTACACGCACCTTTAGTGTAGCAGCCCAACACTCACTGGCAACCAGCAAATGCAAACTGCAAGACGGGGACTTTGAGGTGTAGAGTTATGTACACCTTGAGGACGTTGAAGCGCATACACGTAACGGCTGACTCCTGGCAGAGTGCTATGCATTGTAAAGCGGATCTCTCTCATGCATAACTTCCCCTTCTCACCACTCTATGCAACCGCACCCATCCCCTGTGTGCATTGCTAGCTTGGTTGTGTAGTAATCACACGAGTGACTTTAGTGGTGTCGCCAGTAACATGTGCGCATCTTAGATCGTGTTGTTCACAGATTGTCAAGTTTCATTCACTTTTTCGGTAAAAAATGATTTTGTTTTCCATTTTCGTTGGTTGTGGCGCCAGACCTGTGATACTAGTTCCATGTTCTATGATTGCTCGTATAAAAGGCATTTTTACACTCCTGTTACATCTAACGCATTCATGTGGGTGTGATATCTGGTTGTCGAGATAATGCCTATCTATTCTGACTGTTATGCGCTGAACACTAGCTACCTTTCGATTTTCAGTAGGTCACAGTTTGCAAGACACTGTAAAGAACTATTGTATTCCAGTAACTGGTGTGCTGGGGTCTGTGAGAGAGTGTTGTGTTGCGCAAGTGACATTGATATTCGATTTCGGGCCCGGGCGGACAGTAGCCAAGCAATGACGAGCCAGATATTGTAATCAGTTCTGAGCTGTGTTAGCCAGAAGGTGGGGACTCGGAAGAGGAGGGACAACTCGTTGCTATCGCATGGCAAGTGACTGTCCAGCTGGCCGTACATTACACGCGTTTGGCTCATTCTCTAATTAAATGCGAAGGGCCGCCCATTGGTCAGCGGCAGCTAATCCAATCATGATTGCCGACCTAAAATCTATATCTGTATATACAATGCAATTGTACTGGTGCATTGAAAGCGTGCTATGTAACCGATAACCCATGATACGTTTTGCATGCATGTATAGACTCCTTGATATGCTTATCTAATAACTGATGGTTAACACGTGTGGTTTGCACATGGCTTGCACGTTTGGTAGCAGATGTTAAATGGAACAGGAAGTGGCTTCATAATGCCATGGTGAGGTGGTGGTGCTGCCCTGAACAACACAATGAATCCAATTACATGTACCCACAAATGGTCAACTGACAAATTCAACTAGGAAGGCTTTCCGCTTGCCTGAGCCTAAGCATGCGAGTGCGCCTGGGAATAGCTTCCATAATTATTATCCGAGGTGGTGCGTGCACTTGTGTTTGCGTTCTTGTGATACATTTTTTCACCTCTGCTAAATTCGACGCGAATTCGAAGCCGTAATCGCTTTTTGGTTCTGTGCTTGCATGCACCTCATATACATGTATTCGTTCACCTCTTGTCTACATACTAGTATAATTGTTTAGGTCAAGTTCAGTTCGCACGCTAAACGGAAACTTGGTCCACTAATGTAAACGCGAGAAAGGAAGGAACGAGGCAAAGAAGAAAGGAGAGGCTTAAAGAGATAGGAATGCACGATCACTTTCGCTGGTATTCCCTACTGCCTGAAAGGAGAGATAATGTGGCTCTGGGAATGCCTATTAATTAATCGTTTGAGGTGCCAGCAGCTTTTGACTACACAACTGTACACTGTACTGGCAATAACGTTTACATTAATTTTCAGTACTCGCTAAAGCGGCGAACGTAATTCAATGTGCATCAAAGCCAATCTCCTGAAGAACACGAGTGAAGAGCCTTTGAGTCATTTTGGTAACCTTTCCATACAGCACAAACTCAAGGGAAGTGCAATCAAAGCAACTCTAAAATCCCCCCCCCCCCCCCTTTGGAATTTGCACTTATATCTATGAACCTTCCAAGTTGGAAGGCCGTTGGGTAGCGCTATCAAGAAGTGCTCAAGCTGATTTTCATGACGTGGAAAATCTGAGTACTCCTTGTCAGTTTTGTGCTAGAGTGTGCACATCTGACAGTTCAAAATCTGGTGTAGTTGGTGTACTCGATCGCATAAGTTCACATTTCTACCTTCAATCGGTGTTTCCATCAAAGATAAATTAGAAAAAGAGAATCGTGCTGTAGATGTCATACATAATATTGGTTGACACCATGTCATCCATGAATTGAGAATAATAATAATAATAATAATAATTTGATAACCGCAATCAGTAATACAAGCTGGATCGACATTTGTGTACACTGTATTCTTGTATTGTAAAACTGTGGAGACAATGTGCAATAAAACGATGAAAAATGTGAAGAAATTGTGTAGAGAAAGAAAAGGATTCAACAAGTTTTCGTACAACACTCATCAGGAATCGTCGTTGTACTAAAGGACACTGAAACAAAAATTGAACTATTATAGAAAATCAAAGTTAGAGAAATAACACTAAGAGCAACAACAGTGAAATTTACAAGTGTGAATTTTAACAATCAAAGCGAGAAATGAACAAAGGAGAAAGGAAGGAAAGACAACGTGATAACACATAACAGCAGTACATTACACAGTGTACACAAATGTCGATCCAGCTTGTATTACTGATTGCGGTTATCAAATTGTTGTCTCCTCGCCGTTTGTTCAAAAAAAAAATAATAATAATAATAATTATCTTCACTAGTTTGAGGGAAAGAGACAAACGGGAAAAGTCTGAAGAAAAAATTGACTGTCACCACCAGGACTCGAACCAGGGACCCTCGCTTGTAGCTAGCGATGCTCTAACCACTGAGCTATGGTGTAGTCGTCATCCCAGCAGAGACATAATAATTTTTAAAAGAGGTCGGAGGCGGATAATACTTTAAAACGAAGGTACGTTATGGGTCGCAAGTATCCACGGAAACACACATCCAGTCAAAATAAGGCACTTGTCATAAGTATCCGAACTGGTGAGGACGAACGCACAACGACAACGGAAGTGACAACAACAGTCAATATTCGAAAACGTGGTAGACCGCGAAAACTAACCTCAATATCGGACACCGGACAAGTTGGAGTAAGAAGCTCAATAGAAATCCGCAATGGAGGAGACGTAGCGGAAAGGACACCGGATATCGCGCACCCAACGGTTAGTGTCAAGAAACGTGGAAGGCCGCGGAAACGCGAAGAGACAGATAGTGGTGATGCCACGAAGAGGCGAGATGCTCCAATGTCCCGTACATTGGAGGAGACAACACGCAATGGAGCTAAGAATCGCACTTCGTCAATCAAGCAACATCTGTCAGCCCGTACAAACTCTTGTGAGTTGTACAGTGATAATGTTTTCTCAATATTGTCACGTGGTAGATGTGCGTTGCACTTGGCTGTGTCAGAAGCTTTGTATATCCGTAAGTTAGATCCTGAACTTTGCGTACAGAAAGAAAATGTGTTGTCGCTACAATTGTTTGGTGTTACTCCTCGTCGAGGTGGTAACAATGTAACTTAATTTGCTCACTATGTTGTTGTCACTATTATTATTTTTCCTTCGAGTTTTGTGTCGTGCTAAACTTGATAATTTTCCACCTTGTCACGAGTGTTGTTATCTAATTATCTTTACGCTATATAAGTTTTAGTCTTTCCAACTTGAGCCATTCCCTGTATAATCCTTGATGAGAAGGGACCGAAAACGTTCGGATACTTATGACAAGTGCCTTATTATGACTGGATGTGTGTTTGCGTGGATACTTGCGACCCATAACTTACCTTCGTTCTAAAATAATAATAATAATAATTGAACAAACGGCGAGGCATTAGTGATAGTAGGTTAAAATAGCAAGATGTTCTGCTAGGAGAATAGCTGATACGTTACTATTTATTCGTGAAGACTTGGGAACGGAAACAAAACATGTCATGAGAAAGAACAACAGGAAACAAGAAGCACACTCAACTAATCCGTGTGTGTGCGTGCATGCAGTACAACTATGACGTAATGAATATAGATACACATCACGCCCCTTCGAGATGTTGCGAAACCTGTGACAGCAACATCTATCATAAATAAAACAAAATGAAGAATGAAAACAACAAAGCAGAGACAGCAGAAATTGACATTAGTGATCAAGAGTGTCAATCATAGGACTGTCCATGATGCGAACCAATGTTTAAACGCTGGGGTAGCTTGCGCTGACGTGCGCTGCAGCGGGATGGCGGCGGCGGGGAAGAGGCGTCAGCAGCAGCCGGTTGGACAACAAGCGGTGCAGGCACAAGTGGGCGGTACGGACGCAGGAATCTGCGGTTCCGCCAATAGATGCGACCACTCGGCAACTTCACTAGGTAGTCCCGATGATTACCGACAGCAACAATGACCCCACGAATAGACCACTGCTTGGTGCGCGGATGCTGCACATCCACGTGGGTGCCGAGGCGGAGCTGCGGCAACGAGCGACGAGTTGACGACTTGTCTGTGACGGCATCGTCGGATGGCATGGCAGTCTCATCACGTGTCGTCGCTTTGGATAGCCAGGATGAATCAAACTCCTTCCAATGTGCAATGACGAATGACTGGAGAGAGCGGCCATATAGGAGCTCAGCGGGGCTCTGACCAGAGGAGCCAGGTGTGTTTCGCCATTCCAGTAGCCCTCGGCGGAAGTCATCTGTGTCAAGATTGCCATTCACGGTTGTCTTGGTGATAAGACGCTTCATGGCTTTGACAGCAGCTTCGGCGTGCCCATTACTCTGCGGGTAGTGGGGAGAGGACATGACATGGTTTACCTGCCAGCGCTTACACAACTCAGCGAACTTATGCGAGGAGAACTGGGGACCACCATCTGTACACAGCACAGCAGGAACACCAACATCAGAGAACCAGCGACGGAATGCGAGTATCACGTCATGCGATGAGGTGGTGCGGCCAGTACGTGCGACACAGGGCCAACCGGTCAAACGATCTGCATACACAAGGAAGTCGTGACCTTGACAAGTGAACAAATCGGCAGATGCACATTCAAACGGTAGTGTCGGGGTGCGGTCGTTCAGCAGGGGCTCAGCTGGCTGGGACGACTGGTGTTCGCGGCAAGCAGGACAAGAACGAACGAGTGTATCAATGTCCTTGGTGATACCGGACCAGTATACAAGCTGACGCGCACGAGACT